GCTCCCCACATACGGCGCCAAATTGTTTTAGGCAATAATTACTAAAGCAATCCAAGAATACATTAATAGGGTGAATCTCAGTTGAACTTAATAAATCCTAGACAAACACAAACAATGTCTTGTATGACGAATTGGGTTAGGAACATTAAACAGCGAAATTAATGTGATGATTGGCAAGACAATATAATATCTAAATGCTTACAATAAATGCACGAGAATGATAAGGTTATAGTGTAAAGGACATCGTCACCCAATGATTATGCGATTGGGTTTCCTTTTCTTGAACGACGTGGAAAGTAAGCAACCAATCTGAGTTATGGTTTTGAGATTTGTGATAAAGATTGATCAACATGTGCTTGAATAAAGAGAATAAGACAACTCTTTCGTATATTCTTCTCTCAGCTTTTACAATATGTCTCAATTTTCAAAAAGGGGCCGACCCCATTTGTTCCCCATCTCCTTCTATCTATAAGGACATTCCCCAAAAAATCCTAAAAAGTACACATAAAGAATATCCAAAGGAAATATTCTTCATGTCTATTTCTGAGTTTAAGTTACGTTACTATCCTATATCAACTGCCCACTTTAGTCGTCCTCCTTACATTTGGACGGCCATCAGTCTTTGTGTCGTTGGTCAAACCCCGTCACTATGTTTTGCTCAATATGTTATCGTGGTTACCAAATTTGGACCTATACAAATACCATGATTTGCTATGTATTAGTTATACATAGGACGAATACCAAATATATTGTATAAATAGTAATTGCATTATAATACATAGGTTTGAAAAGGGATAATTCACAATAAATACAATCACAATCTGACTTGCAACATAATAGCCAGTCATAACTTTACAAATCTGTAGCACCAAAATATGTGGCTAAGATTTTGAAAAGAGTATTTTCTGGCTTTTTTATTCAGCAACGACGATTAATCAGGAAATTATCTTTTTAGATGAAGTCATGAGATTTTTTCTAATTCTTCCGCCATCTTAATTTTGATCTTTCTCCCCAATTTGTCTTTAGTGATCTCTCCTAATATATCATCCTATAGTCAAAATATAAAATTGCTCGAGCTGCTTGCGAAAATTGCAATTATATAATTACAAATAAAGAGTTTGGGCTAAAACAACTACGCATAATTGTAAAAATCATCACAAATAGTGGAGCTAGACAAGTTTATTAAACCTTTCCAAAGGATTCTTCCTCAAAATGGTAAAATAAAATAAAAGAACGAGTAGGCTTAATTTTTTCAATTTCGCTGATTCAACTTATATGGTAAAATTGGAAAACAATTGCTACAAAGTTCGTGAATTTGGCGGAGAAAGAGAAAATAACAAGGAAAGTAGATTATACACATGAATTATTCTTAGAAAAAGTAAGAAAACATGCAAAAAATTAATTTGATTATACATATGCAGTACAGTGTATAATGATGTATAATCTATGTATAAACTTGTATATGGAATGTATAATAATGTATATCAAAAGAATAAGAGAAGAAGAAGAAGATAAGTGTCAAACTTCCATGGGGCCTCTTATATAATGACAATGTATATATATCTTATACATTGAGAAATAAATAATTATGTGATATTATGAACATATATACCATTATATATAAATATACACATTTATACACAATTATACAATAATGTGTAAGTGTGTATAAATAGTGGTTATACAATATTTATACCAGAACACATCTTATGTTCAATATTACACCTCTATTTCAGTACCAAAATATCAAAAGAGAGTTTTTCAGAGGAAGTTAGATCTGAAAATTAAAGAGGAGAGGAGATGGAGATGGAATTGTTTTATAAAAGAAGATAAAACTGGAACATCATCTGAATAATTTGAAAATTGTCTGAATACAACACCAGAGCAAATCATTTGCTAAAAACACAAAATGGTTCAATTTTAAATGGATTTTTTTCCGACAGAACAAAAATAACATAAAGTGGGTAAAAACGGCTATTCACCACCGGAGATTCATTCTCCGATGACTTCACTGACTTTATCGTCGACCTCTTTACCTTGAAAATTGAAGGAAAAAAATGGGTAAAGGATGTTATCCACCGCCACATTTATTTTCCGATGACATCGTTAACTTTGCCGGCGACCTCTCGATTGAATTCGTCATCGATATCTTTACTCTGAAAGTTGAAGAAAGAAAAAAAAAGGATAAAGGAGGTTGTCTAGTTCTCTTCTCCACGCTAGGTTAATCGATGAAATCCTTTTTACGCATTATCTGCAAAACGGGCTATGCCGGGTAAAGTTTAAAAACATGGGCTATTTTTGGTTGTGCGATTGGGCTGACTGACATAGGATACAATTCTTTCTTGAAAAAGTGTATCAAACAAGGGATTAGTAATACCAAAAGCTAATACATACATTATTTTATCTAATACATCCTACCAAACGACCCCTAAACGTGAAGTGATCTCAATCTTTTTCCCTGTAGTAAGATTAGTTATGATTTCTTACTTGTTACTTTCTCCTATTCATACAATACAATAGCGTTATACGATTAGAGGCTTAGTTCTCTTCGACAGCTGAACCAACTTCCAGACAATTCATGAAGGGAGCGACAAATAAAATGTTTTCCCCCTATTAACTTGAAATCTTGAATTATCAAGGGAAAAGGATATCTAGAATTTCCTCAAATCATTCTTACACTTAGATTATGTCAATTCTGTTTTAGTAGTGGGGACATCCACATTTTAGTGATGCAATTATGAGACCCAAGAAAAAGGCTAGGCAGTTCGGTGCATAAAATATATCTTATTCGCGTTGGATCCGATCCGAGGAAGAATCTCAGCCGAAGGAATACATATAGACAACCTAACCTAATACAAGTATTATTGGTTGTTTCTACGGTTCGAACTTATGCCCTATAAATTATACAAAGATAACTTTAATATTTTTCCGTCACGTAGAAAACAAAGAACATATCTTATCAAAGTGTTGGCTGAATTGGAAAAGACTAAAAGTCACATAGGCTCTGAAATTGATGTATGATCCGAAAAAGGAACCATGGCCAACCACACCCTATCTTTCTAAAATTTAATACAATTTCCTCACTTTAATTCATCATCATCTAGCCCAAAAAGTCAAGAAAATCCTGTGGCCGCCAATTCCAAGTCATATTCAAAAACCCCACACGAAGAAAAAAAAAATGCTGACACAAGAGTTAACAACCCATAAATTTCTCTTTTGACATTCCAATCAATCAATTATGTATAAACTAGGGGTGTCCAAATTGAATCGAAAAACTGCATCAAATCGAAAAGATAAATCAAAACGATTAAAAAATTTGACTAGGTTTGGTTTGGTTTGATTTTGTATTGAATAAAAAAATCCGAACCACATCAAAATATAAATATATAGTTTTTTATATATACTTTGAAGACTTTATATAGAATTTCTTTAAAAAATATCTAGAAATACTTGGGATCATCTCATGGGATGTAATATTTAATAGAACTCTGAAGTGCATCCATTTATATTTACTTTAAATAATGGAATGTATCACTTTCTTATTAAGTGTTATTGAAATGCGTCAATCATCTCTTTATTCTTTCATATTTATATGTTAAGATTTCTTATATTTTTTTTCGAATTTGAAGTGGTATTTCGATAATTTAAAATTACATAAAACATATCATTATTTAGGTATCATATTGATTTTTATGTTTAATTATTAAATTCGGTTAACCTTGAAAGCATGCATCAACGAAAAATTATTATCAGACGACTTAGAAAATAAACTATTATGTGCTATTAAAAAAAATCTCCCATAAGAATACTTTAATAGATCATATATTTGTTAATTTTTTTTTAATTTTTAGTAAATGTATATTCACTTATCAATACTTTATTTATAACTTTAATAAAGTAAGATTAAAATAATATTCATGTAATAAATAAATCCGAAAACCCCGACAAACCCGACAAAATCGAACCAATCCAAACCGATATAGTTGGTTTGGTTTGGTTTTGATAAAATCTGAACCAACTCGGTCCATGAACACCCCTATTACAAATAACCAACCAATGTTGTGGCGGGAGGATAAGTACTCCTTAATCCTTAACAAGAAGTTTTAGGTTCGAGTTTTGGGTATGAAATCGTCTTTGTTAGAGACCGCTTTACTTCTAACGTGGGACTTTAATTCAAATTTAGTTGAGCTCGATGCAGGTAAAGTTTCCGGTTCGAGCTTTGGGTATGAAGTCGTCTTTGTTAGAGACCACTTACTTCTTGGAGGGACTTTTCGGCGCATTCAAATTTAATTGGGCTCAATGCAGATAGCGGATACCGTATGTTGAACTAAAGAAAATTATATATGAAGAAAAATTGGGACCCTTGTGATTGGTCTGTACCAAATTGTAAATTTTCTTTTTGACTTTTGATTCTTTCTTGAATAATATAGGAATATTCTTTACTAAAAATGCTATAGTAAGTGTAATAATTGTGATGATAATTGCCCACTATGGTTGGTGGTAATGTACAAAACTAAAATAATTAAATGAGACAATAGAATAGTAGATGGTGATAATTTTGCTGGTGCGCCGCTCCCAAATATCATTCCAAAGAAGTCACTATCGCTGCCGCCGGTGGACCCGGCACCGCCGCTCCCGCTAGCTCCGGTGGTGGTCCCACCTCCATATGATATGCTAATACTATTATCCCTGTTTATTTACAATAATGCGAAATATTCAGAGGCGCATATAACTATAAATAATAAAACTCAATAGTTTTTACAGGGAGCATAAATATACATGTGCAAAATTATTAAAAATTAAGATTTGAAACCATAAGTTTGTAGTGACAATTTTTTTCTAAGACTTTAAGTGCATCTGAAATGTAATTTTTCACTTCAGACTTTTTGGCTAGGAAAATTTTTGTTGCATTTCAGACCTTTTCCCCTTAAAGTGCATCTGAAGTGCAATTTTTTCACTTCAGACTTATTAGCCTTAAGTGCATGAAACCATTGGTTGCATTTCAGACATATTTGGCCTTAAGTGCATCTGAATACAATTTTTTTTACTTTAGACTAATTTTTTTTAATTTCAAACCTGATAAGTCTGTAGTTGATCGTAAAGTGGTAGACTTGTAATTTTTTTTGTAAAATCGGTATAGATTCAATTGCGACTCCAAAATCAAGTATAGATGTAAAAACCCCAATATCAATTGTACATCTTGACTAACAACATCGAGCTTGAGCTTTTGAGCAACTAGGCCATATAGGCCCTACCTTTATCTTAACGGAAAGTGGTCCAAGCCCAGTTAATATCAAAAGTGGGGCCCAAAACCTTTAAGAAAAGTCTTTTGGGCCCCACATTTTTCATGGGCTGGAAAGCATGAATCACAGAATCTAACTTCTCATCTCACGCGCTCCCAAAACACCTCACATGACCTGATACTGATCTTCCCTCTTTTTCCCTGCTTTACATATTTTTATTAATTACATAAATTAGACAAATAATAAATAAAATAAAAGATTCTAGCCGCGTCCAACTTAGTTACAAAGTTGTTCACCGTCAAGAATTCATGACAAATACTTTAAACAAATCCACGCCAGAGGTGCAGTCAGAATTTAAAGGTTTATGGATTTTGATCTTGTTACTGAACCTTAGCTTATTTTAGTTACTTGGTTCGCAATAAAATGTTTTACATATTTAATAGATTTTCTAATACAAATACTTTGAAATCAACATCATTAAAATTAAGTTGAAAAATCGCCTAATTTCCCTCTAAAATGCAAATAGGCAATGGTCACCGAGGAGTTGAGCTATATAACTTTTTTTGGTTTTCTATTCGGTGTTTATTACCTATATTGGGGCGTCGACAGAATCCAAATTTGCACGAGAAATTTCACATTATGGGATTAAGCATTTTTTAACATAGCTGACTCATACTCATGAAAAAATATTTACCATTTTACTGCAACCCTTATTGCTGAACTATAGAACTCCATACACAAAGGCCAAAGCATTATTTAAATCTATGAGAAGTGGGAATAAGACAACTCAAGAGTACAAGGCTCTATGTATAAATTAGATTCTCAATTCCCGCTTTATTTTTTATATAGTCATAGCTTTGTACTTATTCTGCCCTTTCGAAAAAGTATAAATTTTTAATACTCTTTTACAAATCTACTCTACTTTCTATTCTTTGGGCAGTGACAAGAACAAATAGAAGCAAGTGGATTCAATAGAGAAAATAAAAAGCAGAAAATGTTTAAAAATGAGAATTTTTTTCTAAAAATAAGTAATGGTTAGTTTGCCTCTTCACTACTACTATTTTTTTTTCCTTCAAACTTGCTTTGTTTTTCTTTGAGTGGGGGTTTATCAGAAATAATTTCTCTATCCCACATAAGGTAGAAGTAAGATTTGCGTACACTGTACACATTACGCTCTCTAGACTCCACTTGTAAGATTGCATTGGATATATTTTTGTAATAACTGCGTACACATTACACTCTCTAGACTCCATTGTGAGATTTTACCCGATATATTATCGTGATGGCTGTAACAAAGATTTCGTTGGTTGATAATTTGAAAGAATTAATATAAGCATATAACATTTGGTTAACCACAAAGAATCAATAATTATTATATATACTTAATGCTAGTTGACAATATTAAATAATATTCATTTTAAAATTATGAAAAGGGAAGTACCTCGGGGCACCAAAAACACCGGCGTTGAGGGTGAGTTGATCAATAAGAACGGCGGATTTGGGCTCCACGCTCGAGGCCTTCGCGTATTGGTTGCTCAGCCCGTCACCTGATGGCACGAAAAATGCTCCATTTACCATTACGTCCCCGTCTGTTCTCCAGTTCCAGTCACTCCACTCCCGCTCGTCTGTTTCCACGCGCTTTGTCACCTTCCCATTATGAGTATTTGAAGATATCAATATATCATTTCGAGCAACATCATTTTGAGTTTATGACCAAGTTTGCATTTCAAGCATTTATTTAAAATTAACTTAAAAAAGGTCCAACCACAGACAAAACAATAGGAAAGTGCGATGCATAAAGTATCTCGTACCCATGCAGGGTTTGGAGAAGGTCGCACCCCAAGGGATTTATTATAGACAATCTACCCTAATGCAAGTATTAGAGTTTGTTTTCATGCCTCGAACCTGTGACCTATAGGTCACACGGAGATAACTTTACCGTTGCTTCAAGACTCCCCTTCAATTACGACCAAGACAATAAGGAAGGAGATTTTGATAAGTGTTTTTGTAATTACGGCCAAGACAATATTGTAAATTTTTCAGAAAAGACCCGACACTAAACCGAAAATCGCGGTAAAAAGGTATTTTCAAGTGCAGAAAAGGATACAAAAATCACTCTAATTTAGAGGTGGCGCGTTAAACTACGCGCAACCATCGCATTTTATCTGAACTAGAAAAAATTGTGGGACATGGTCTAAAAAGTTCACAAGTATTTTCCCAAACATCATTAAGCCAATGATTTTCTTCTTTTTCACTAGAGAGAATTAACAAACAAAATAAAATAAAATAACGAAACAATAAGATATAGAAAATCTTATCTTAATTAAAAGAAAAAGAAAGAAAAATACCTCTTTAGCATTTGGATCCACTGGCGCCATATAACGATTGCCTTGACTATTAATAGTAGGATTAGCACTTCCTCCAATTGCATACATTTGCCATTCTGTAAAATCATTGTTCACTACATGTATATATCCTCTTCTACACCTTGGCATTCTCTGTACTAATCCTACTCCAAAATGATTGAACGCTATTGTAACCTATTTTCCCATAAAATTACACATTAAACCTCAAAAAATTTCAATACCATCAACAAAAAGCTCTTAAAAATGAGGGAAATTAATCAAAAAAATATTTTTCTACTATACAAAATATCTTAGTTTTATCATCCGTTATACTTTCGTCACATCCATATCTGCCGTTAGCAAATCGTCTTAACCTTAATGGAACTTCAGCAAGCATTCTAATCATCAACGGCGAATTTATGCCCAATTCATGGGACACGTGAACCCATAGTTTTTCTGTCAAACTATATATTTTATATACATAATTTCTAGAATTGATCTAATATCATTTGCTGGTCACTATGCTCTAAAAAGGCTGAATGGTATACTTGGTTAAATATTGAGTTTTTACCCAAAGGAAGAGGGATTAATTCCTCCTAAATATTTTATTTTTTCTTCTTATTTTAGTGGTGCACCCGTTAAATTCATCTCCGCTAACTTTACTATAAAAAATGCTGAAATGGCCAGGGGCGGATGTAGTTTGAAATCACCGAGTTCAACTGAATCCAGTACTTTCGATGCGGATTACAAATTTATGTGTAAAAATTTATTAAAATTGCAGGAAAAAGTATATATGAACCCAAAACTTTAAAAATACAATGAGTTTGAACCCATAGAACTTGAATCCTGGATCCGCCTCTGAAAATGACAATTTACTAACGACAAAGATATGGATAATCCAAAGTATAACACGGAATAAAATTAAGATATTTCATACTATAATAGGTAAATTTTAAACCTTTTTCAATAAAAGAAATACATCTAACCTGCATTCCGGAGTCGGGCAAATATCTATCATCATGTCCCAAGAGCATAACTTCATCATGGTGAGTGAAATAGTTGTTAGATATAGTAATCGCAGTGGACCCCATGATAGCATCAATTAAGCCGTCGGTACAATGCGACAATGCACAATGATCAATCCATATATTTCGCGATCCAAATATAGAAATTCCATCACCGTCTGATCTTCCTCTATGCCCAACGTGAGTCGGGGTCGAACGTATATTAGTATTTCCCGAAGGACGACAATTGTAAATATGAACATTGTGTATAATAACATTACTAATATATTGTAACGTTATACACCCATTGCCCGTAATGTGTACTTTTGCACCACGACCGTCGATTGTTTTGTAACTATTTACGATAAGTTCATGTTTTAATTTAATAAACATGTCGGCTGAGAAAATTATCCAGAGCGGTTCGTCTTGGATTACCGCGTGCCGGAGAGTCCCCGGCGTTGGGTTGACAATATCTCTGTCGGAGGAATCGGTGACAACATAAATCTTGCCATTTCTTCCTCCGATTGCGCCCTGACCGAAGCCTATGGCGCAATCTGCTAAACGTTGACGATTGCTGGCCCAGTTTGAGTCGCAGCGCCAGCAATCGTCTATTGGGTTCCCCGTTTGACATTGTGCATTTATGGTTGTGTCTAACAGTTGTCTTCTTGATATGGACTCATTCACCTTACTGTAATAAAGCAAAAATAAAAACAATTAAGTTCGTTATAAAAGCGAACGACTTATAGTAAGTGTACTAACATGAAAAAATCCTAATCTGTCTTAACAAGAAAAAAGAAAAAAATGTATGAATAATGCAGGTGGTGGAAGAAAAAGTAGGTGAAAGTTTTAAGTATTTTGAGCTGAAAAATTAGAAAAAATTGGAGATTTATTGGAAAAATCATTATTTTCTTGATTGATTTTGGCAAAAGCAGAATGTACACGCAAAAAGTACTTAACTCAAGAAAGGTTCAAAAGTTTAATATGAGCAAAACCCAGATGGGTTTTGTTGATTTTCTTAGTAAAACAGAGAAACCCAGATGAATAAATGAATTAATGAGCAAAACCCAGATTGGGTTTTCTTTAAAAAAAAAAAAAAATTACCCAAATATCCGCCCACCCAAGCGCTTAAATAAAAAATAGCAGTAGAGATATAATATATGTATTATTTGTATATTATATTTGTATAACTGTGTATCATAAATGTATAATGTATGTAAATAAAAAAGTAAACAGTGAATATGACCTGTTATTTGTGTAAAGATCCGAAAAATGTAAGAATGGGAAAACCCCAGATGAGGAATTTGAGTACTAAAGTTATGAATAAAGTTAGAATTGAAATGTGAGTAATACCTTTGTAGTTCTTGAACCACAGCTTCAGGGTAAGGGTGTTGATAGGGGAGGGTGAGATTAAGGGAAGCTGTAATTAGTGGGAAAAATGAGATTAAGAAACAGAATAAGAGAATGCAAATAGCAGAAAGCATCTTTAGAAGTGTAATAAAAATGGTTGAATGAATTAATATTCCTTGTAGTTGTAGTAATTGGTCTGTTTCTTCTGTAAAAGGAACTCTCTCAAAGGAGGGAAGAGATGTCTTGTTCTTGAAATATTTGGAAAAAATGTAATGTTCTTTATATAATAAGTAGTACAAGAAAACAAGAATGGGTATAATATTGGTTGAAAACTTGATTAATCAAGAAATAAAAAAGAATATTGGATTGGCTTTAATATTAGGGTTTTGGACTTAGGTTTTGTAGTATATTTTTGTTTGAAGAAGAAGGAAGAGATTTTTTGGGTATTAGTGGCTATAATGTTGAAATAAGCCAAAACCCAATTCCCACTTAAGAGAATTTTGAGTTTGAGAGAAGAGAGGAAAGAGGCTGTTGTTGTTTTTCTCTCCTTTTGCAGCCTCCTTGAGCCACTCACATACTTGGCTTGTTTTGTAATTATTCTAATATAAGATCAATATCTGAATATATATTAAATTGAGAAAAAATTTGAGATTTTTTTTCAAGAAGAAAGTGGCTTATCCAAAATGTATCAGCAGCTTCATGTGGGGTTTGGACATAGGGATTGTGGGGTTGTGGGAAAAGGAATAGAGGAGGTGGGATTTGGCTACTTTAGGGGCCGGAGATTCTTTTAGGGGGTTTGGTTTGAAGACAAGTTATACTGTAATTAGTTATGTTGAGATTAGTTATCCTGATATTATTTTTTATTGACTGTTTAAGAAAATCAGGTGCACTAAGCTCCCGCTATGCGCGGAGTCTGGGGAAGGATCTGACCACAATGGTCTATTATATGCAACCTTACCCTGTATTTCTGCAAGAGGCTGATTTCACGGCTCGAACCCGTGACCTCCTGGCCACATGACAACAACTTTACTAGCTACGCCAAGGCTCTTGTTTGATATGTAATATTAATTCTGGGATTGTCAATTTTACTGTCTTATCCTAAGATTACTATTCCATCCTCCGGCATGTATTAATTATCATGATATAATTTTTAATCATGGGATAATTTATTCCGGGATTAGTAATAAAACAAGAGATAATGTAGTACTAAATTTTTATCCCGTGATTATTTTTGTTTATCCACCGTACCAAACGATCCCTTAGTGAGTCATATGCTATGCTATTCTGATTTAGCAATGCTATTGAGTTTTGATTATAAAATGGATAGGTTAAAAAAAAGGGAAAAGAAGATGTTGGCTGTGGTATGATATTCTGCATAATCTTTTAATTTCTGGATCTGGAGAAGGGGTAGAACCTTTTCTGATACACTTTTCACTTAATCGTTAAAAAGGTTGTGATTTGTGAAGGTTAAGATTGTACCAAACCAAATTAACTATATAGCCTTTTGAAGGCCACAATTGCAAGAATAAAATGGTAGATCTCTAGCCATTTTCATTTTGTTTATCATTACACCAAATTAATAAATATAAAAAGGTGATTAGTAATTTTGTTTTATTCTGTTCTTTCGTTTTAGACTTAGAAATAGGCTAGTGTTTCTTGAAGTAATAGCGACAGAAAAAATACATTATATAGCCAATGTAAAAATAATAGCCGAAAATTAAATTTGTATATTTTTGTATATATATACATTCTGTATGTTATATATAAAAATTATACAGATTTAATACACTTTTTCGGCTACCAGATGTAAATTGTTTCTGGCACGGACTAAAAGTGATAATACCCCATAAAGTTGTAAAAATTGCACGGGGCGCTCTATTTGGGCGCCCCTTTTTAACCTGTAGCCGCTTTGTTTTTCTATTTGCACCCGTACATGTTTTTATGTTAAAAGCCTTTTAAAAAGACTATTTTGCCCTTCTTTATTAAAAGACTACTTTCTCTCCAAGTATACGCTAGTCCTCTATGTTAAAACTGAAATTTTCTCAAAGGAAGCTAACAGTACACCTATGTTATTTCAAGGAACAATGCAAAGTCGTTAAGCACGTTTTAGGACTTTTCAGAACCAAAAATGGGAGGAAAAGTTGATTTCATCACCAATAAATTCACTTTCAAAATTTTCTTTTCTTCTGGCACTACAGAAGGATGATCTTAAAAAGCCTTTGCCATTACCTCTTTATAGTGAACATGCATGGAAGAATTCACCGGAAAGAGAATCTTCATCTTTTTCATGATTGATTATACCTGTGATGGCACGTTCCAACGGTGTCGAAATATACTGCGAGCCATTTTGTAACTGGTGAACTTCAGCTTTAGGAGTTGAAGTTTTTATTTTTGTAACTGGTGAACTTCAGCTCTAGAGCTGAAGTTTTTGTTTTGTAATTGGCGAACTTCAGCTCCAGAGCTGAAGTTTTTGTTTTGTAACTGGTGAACTTCAGCTTTAGGAGCTGAAGTTTTTGTTTTTGTAACTGGTGAACTTCAGTTCTAGAGCTGAAATTTTTGTTTTGTAACTGGCGAACTTCAGCTCTAGAGCTGAAGTTTTTGTTTTTGTTACTGGTGAACTTCAGCTCTAGAGCTGAAGTTTTTATTTTGTAACTGTCGAACTTCAGCTCTAGAGCTGAAGTTTTTGTTTGTAACTGGCGAACTTCAGCCTTCTTAGAGTTGAAGTTTTAGCTGACTTTCCATATGATTCGAACGTTGAAAGTATTAGATGGAAATACAGGTGCTCACTAACTTATGTAATCCTCTTGGTGAGATTCCTCCAATTTGGTATACTTCTTAAATACCAAATTGGGAGGGGCATTTGCATCTATACCCGCTTTTTGGTCACCTTTTAACTTATACCCGCTTTGCAAAAAAATTGCAAGCGTACCCACTTTTCGCGTAACTTCAGACATACGGGCATGAAGTAGCAAAAATTTATGTCTGAAGTTTGAACTTCAGAATATTTTGCCTGAAGTGTAGCAAAACTTCAGATATTTTTGCATGAAGTTTGGCCTGACTTGCAAAGGCAATCACGCAAACTTCAGTTCATAGTGCAAATAGCAAACTTCAGTTTAATAAAACTACAACATGTTTTGGCTGAAGTTTTTGTTTGTAATTGCTGAACTTCAACATTCCAGTAACTGAAGCTTTATTCTGTATTTGCTAAACTTCAGCATGTTTTTAGCTGAAGCTTTGTTCTGTATTTGATGAACTTCAGCATTCTAGGGCTGAAGTTTGTATTGTATTTGCTGAACTTCAGCATTCTTAGAGCTGAAGTTGTAAACAATAATGAATTTAATAAATCATGATTAGCAGCGATTGATGCTGTTCATTTCAAAGATTAAAGAATGAAGAAATATTTTCAACGTGAAAACAAGTTACTACAGATTAATTAGGACCAAAAACCAATGTGCCTGTAAAGCTAAAATATCTAAGAGGTTAAAGTATTGTGAATAAGACCAAACTGAACATAATGGGACAAGCATATATATGAATCATCATGTTAGAACGCATAACAATATCTCAAGCTTCAACATTCAGAAAACGAAGGAGGGGAAGGAGAAGGAGAAAGAGGCCTGAAGTTGTTTAAACAGTGGGTACAAGTTAAAACTTTTTTAAAAAGTGAGTATCGGTTAAATGGGGGCGACCAAATAGGGCGCCCCGTGCAATTTTTACAATTTGGGAAAGTTGGAATCCATTTTGTTAATTATATACATCAAATTGTAAATTTCAAGTTGTTATTATTATATAGAACTACCTATAATCAGGGTCGGATCTAACTTGAAAGATGGCGCTTAAAATGAATCCCCCTTTTTTAACAAATTTTATTTTGGAAGCAAAGATTAATTTTTTTAGTTATATATAAATTGTTGAATTCTCTGACGTAAGGGGAAGTTCCAGTAAAACAGTAAAGAAGTTTAAGAAATCGCTTTAGGTCAAAAGCTAAACCCAATGTGTAATATTTTATATGTTTTTATTGCTCTGCCACTGCCTGGAATTATTTTTTAATTGACGAAATATATATAATTCCTCAATTAAGACTGGAACCTAAGATTTCATATCAATTGAGACTATAATAAAACATCAACTATCATAGGACTAAAAGGATTCTCTCTACTCGGACTTGAATAAAGACCTTTGTGAAGAGGTGAAGCTACAGGGTTCCATCTCCATTGGAGATGAAGCTCCAAGGTGAATCTGAGAACATTCTAGACCGAAGGAGAAAAATTGAGAAATGCAAAGTGATTTCTATTGATTGTACCGAATACAATATATACACACTGACAGCTATCAGATAGTGGGAGCTCCACTACAACCAACTAACTAACCTATGCAAGTTGACTAACTAATCACACCACTAACCGGCTTATTAATCTAACTAACAAAACACCTCTAATACTAACTAACTAACTAACAAGTACAAGTATATAAATATACTCAATCAATCTTAACACCGCCCCTCAAGTTGGTGGGGAAGAATTCACTGCCAACTTGCCAAGGATGTTCGTATGTTTGATGCCAGTCAAAGCTTTGGTTAGTATGTCAGCTAGTTGATCATTTGTTGAGATGTGATGCAGAGTGATTAGTCCATCTTGTAATTTATCCCTTACGAAATGACAATCAACCTCTATGTGCTTTGTGCGCTCACGAAATACGGGATTTCTTGCCATATGTACAGCAGCTTGATTGTCACAGAAAACATGAATAGGTTCTTGACATGTATCAATCAATTCCTCCAGCAGTCTCCTTAACCATATCAGCTCACCAACTACTTTGCGAATGGATCTGTATTCAGCTTCTGCAGATGATAAGGAGACTGTGTCTTGCTTCTTTGATTTCCAACTAATTGCACTTTCTCCAAACAAAACTACATACCCACTCACTGATCTTCTTGAATCAGGGCAGGCAGCCCAATCCGAATCACAATATGCTCTCAAGGTATAGTCAGGGCTGTTGGACAAGAAAATGCCCAGTGTGGGATCAACCTTTAGATATCTAAGCACGTGCAATGCAGCTTTGGGATATGGTTCTCTTAGAGATTGCATGAATTGACTCAGGTGTTGCACACTATAGGTGATATCCAACCTTGTATTTGTGAGGAAGTTTAGCTTTCCCACAAGCTTCCTACAGAATGTGGGATCTGCCAATAGTGGTCCTTCAGTTGCCTTTAGTTTGACAGTACAATCAAGTGGAGAAGTCACTGTACTATATCCCAAGCAGTCATACTCCTTCAATAAATCTGTGGCAAACTTTCTCTGAGAAATGAGCACTCCATCAGTCCTATAGAATAATTCTAGACCCAAGAAGTAGTGCAATTTGCCCAAATCCTTGATTCTGAATTTGTCATGGAGGAAATTCTTCAATGCTGTGATCTCATTTAAATCTGTCCCTGTGAGAATCAAATCATCCACATATACAGCCACAAATATGCTGGAGGTGGCATTCTTCTTGTAGAAAAGGGATTAGTCATTTACTGAATGCACAAAACCTCTTGAAAAAAGAGATTTTGTGAGTTTATCATACCATTGTCTGCTTGCCTGTTTCAGTCCATACA